TATTCAATAGGGGAATAGCTAAATAAATTATGGTGGTGCATACAATAGAATTCTCTATACCTGGTGGGCGCGGTGGCTTATGCCTGTAATCCCAGCACTTTGGGAGGCCAAGGCAGGCAGATCATCTGAGGTCAGGAGTTTGAGACCAGATTAACCAACATGGAGAAACCCCATTTCTACTAGAAATACAAAATGAGCCAGGCGTGGTGGTGTATGCCTGTAATTCCAGCTACTTGGGAGGCTGAGGCAGGAGAATCTCTTGAACCCGGGAGGTGGAGGTTGCGGTGAGCCAAGATAATGCCATTGTACTCCAGCCTGGGCAACAAGAGCGAAATTCCACCTCAAAAAAAAAAAAAAATTATCTGTACCCATCAAACAGGATGAGGTAGATCTATATATATTGACATGATGAGATGATGGTATATGATTAAGTGGTAAAATGAAAAACAAGTTACTGAGCCATGCATGGAGATGAACTTGGTGTAGAAACATGTGTATTACATTTGCTTTATGGACATACTGGCACACAAAATATCCAAAAGAATAAGTAGAGCAGACAGACATTAATAGTTATTTTATGTGGGGTGTGAAGAGGGATAAGATTACAGAGTAAGACTGTGGAAACATTTCATTTCTAGTTATAAATTTCTTAGTTTGCATTTTGAATTTTTTGGAAAAAATGATTATCTGGCTGGGTGCAGTGGCTCACACCTGTAATCTCAGCACTTTGGAAGGCCAAGGCAGGAGAATCACTTGAGGCCAGGAGTTCGAGACCAGACTGGCCAACATGGTAAAATACCGTCTCTACAAAAATTAGCCAGGTGTGATAGCGCTCGCCTGTAATCCCAGCTACTTGTGAGACTTAGGCATGAGAATTGCTTGAACCTGGGAGGCGGGAATTGCAGTGAGCCGTGATAGTGCCAATGCACTCCTAGCCTGGGCGATAGAATGAGACTCTCTCCCCCCAAAAAATTTCCTAATTTGTATATAGAAAAATTCTATAAAGATATATCCAATTAAAAAGATAATAACTAAATAAGGACTCAAACACAAAAGGGTTTTTTGTGTTTGTCTAATTATGAGTGTGAGTTATTTTAACTTTGCTGCTGGTTATTCAAGATAGGTGTGTGTGTACTAGGGGTTGAGGGAGAGGAAAGGAGAGGAGAAAGAGAGGGAGGGAGGGAAGAAGCAGGAGAGAGGGAGAGGGAAAGAAGGATGGAAGGGAAGGGAAAGCAGGAGGAGCGAGTGAGACACGTAAGTACAGCTGTATGTGTGCACGCTATGCGCACTGGCTGGGATGGCAGGCTAGGGTGGGGGAATGAAGAAGGCATGGTGTCTTGCCACTCGATCTTTCTGCACCTCTCAATGCTACTGGGAAGACATCTCACTTTGCATTAGCTCCTTGAGGTTGCTGTGGCTATAAGAAGCCGTCCAGACTGAGGACTGATGTTATCTTTACCTCCTTCTGGTATTTCCCGTTTTGGGATCCCCACATACATACTCAGCATGCCCCCCAGTGACTTCGTATTTCTTGCTGTGTTACTCTGGAGAGGACGTTTCCTGTATTTGTTTGGATCTTCTCTTCCTGAGGGCTAGGAAAGGAGTCTCCTGTCTACCTTCCACCTCCACAGCCATCATTCTCATCAGTGAAAATGGTCCTCACTACTGCCCGGAAATCCATTCATCAATTTCTTGTACTTTCCTTGTGTCAGCCACACCTAGATCTGCTCTGCTCTCAAGACTCAGAGAATTAGTGCTGTGCCTTTTAGGTACGCTACAGTTGCTGTGTCATGGATGAGCATATCCCTGTGTGCTGAAGCACTTCAAAATGAAGTATTATGATGTTGACAATGTACTTTCTAGTGACTCACCAAAAAGAAAAACGATGAGAATAATTAAAAAAAAGAGAAGAACAAAGAAAGCACATACGCATATATGGCAAAATAGTAACACCATTTGAGTGTAGGTGGTAGGTACACAGGTACGTCTACTGCTGTCTCAAACATTGTTTCAGAAAAGTTGGTGTGATCACTTGAATGTCCCCTAAATTTTTCCTTCTTCTCCATCTCCACTGCCACTGCCTGGCTTCAGGCCTCCTCGCTCCCAGCCACATTCTGGAGACAGCTGCCTTCTGGGCTTACCGGCCCATCCTGTCCCACTCCATCCATTCTCCACAAAACTGCCAGGAGCTGTCCAAATGCAGCATCATAGCCCCACGGCCCTCTGTGCTCCCCAGAGCCTCCACCACCAACTTCATCTCCCATGAATGCTGCCACCCACCAAATCGCAGGTGATCATCCAGTTGCGGGAACATTTCCAGCTCCTTGAGGCTGACCACACTGCTTCACTTTCTGTGCCTAGAAGCCCATTCCCTTCCCATCCACCTTCCTCCCTAGCTACCTGGCAACCTCCTCTCCCTCCTTCAGGACTCAGCTGTAGGATCACCTTTTCCAGGATAACGTCTCCCATCTCCTCCTGTCCTGCTCTTTCATTCCCCTTCCTCCTTGTGCCACCACTTTGTTCTGGACAGACATGTGTGTCTGCTCTTTGTGAACCATGGTCTCATCTCTTTCATTTATATAATACCAGCATCTGGCACAGGTACAGCCAGGTAGTAAACAAACAGAAATTCGTGAATATGATGGAATTAATGCATCAATAAATGATGCTCCAAGTTAAGAAAGTGAGAAAACCTCTTGATTTGCACATGTGTATACTAAAGCGAAATAGGCATTATGCTCTTGATCCACCCACCGTTCATTCGCTAGTTACTGAGGAACTATCATAGATCCACTGGGCATATAGCTATATTTATACTTGAGTCTTGCTTTATTCGTTCGTTCATTCATCAAATACTTGACACTTGTTGAGTGGGGGAGAACTGTGCTAAGAGCTGGGAGACTTGCAAAGATGAATCAGGCAGAGACCACAGCTCTAGGAGGGGAGGTAAGGCATGAGCAGAAATAAAGGAGAAAGGTGGTCAGTGTCATCAGGAAAACATAGGCACCAGGCAACAGGAGTTCAGAAGAGGGGAAAGGACTCCTAGGAGCCCCACAAGAGAGGGGGTGAGGGATGACTTCCTGGGTGAGTTGACATTTGCACTTGACTTTGAAGGATGGAGAATTTTACATGTAAGCCTTTGGAGGGAGGAGGGTGTTCCAGATGAAGGGCAGAGTAGAAACAATGGCCCTGAGCTAGGCCATGTACAGGGGTCACCAGTAATTTTGCTTTGCCAGAATGTCTTTGAAGAAAAGTGGTGGAAAATAAAGTTGGGGAGGAAGGTTGAAGTCACTGCAGTCTCAAAGATCAGAATAAAATGTTTAGTTTGTATTCTGTGAGCCTGGGGTGGCCATGGAAGGTTTCTAATCAGAGGGTGAACAGATCAGGTGTGCTTCCAGAAGGTTATCCTGGCAGTGCTGTGCAGGATGAATGTGTACATTTAACTTGTCCCCCTAATAATGCAAAGTCCTTAAGTGCACTGCTGACCTTATTGTGCTCAGAGTTTAGCTAAAAAATTTGCATACAGTAAAGACTTAATACATTTCTTTAACATTAACGGAACGGTGCACATCAGTAAACATCTATATTTCTCACAGCAACACACCCATTCAGCCAGTTATCCTTAACTGAAAACTCTCACATGCAGGAATCTTCTCATAGCTATACTTCTGTTCCTTTTCTTGGCTCCTCACTATTCCAAATCCTTAGCACTTACTTCCTAGATCATTGTAACAGGTTCCTGATGCTGCCTTCCCATGAGCTCTCTACATTGCAAATAACCCTGGTGGACTGACCCTGCTCAAGAAACTCCTATGGCTCCCTCTTAGTTATTGGCATTTAAGATGCTCCACAACCAGGCCATACTTTAACCCTATATATCTCCCATTCTTTATCCACGTGTTTCCCCTACTCCAGCCAGACTGTTTCCTCCCCAATTCCCTTGTTCTATCCTCCTTTCATACCTCTGCTCATATTGCTACCCGAACCTGCTCTTTTCCTCCCAAATCATCTGAACCAAGGCTCTGTTTTGCCAGCAGTGCAACAGTGTGAAGATTCAGAAAGACCTGGTTTCAGATGTTAGTTTTTTTATTCCTTGTGCAAACTTAGAAATGCTATGCATCCTCTTGGAATCTGAGTTTTCTCATCTATAAGATTAGAATTATAATCATGTCTACTTGTTATTAGGGCTTCTTATTATTATCAATAGGGCTATTCTGGGGAGTAAATAAGGCAGGCTATATATGCCCAATAAATGGTGATGGTTCTCCCTCCTCTGACTCCTTGAAATTCCAACAAGGAATTCCTGTTAGGTGCTTATATGGGAAGGAAGTTACATTTTGATGGCATACCTATTTTGAAGGAAGTTATCTTTTGAAGGAGTACATACCACCACTGGGCTTTTGCTATTTACTTCCTCCACAACCCTAAAATACAAGCATTTCTATCCTGATTTTAAAGATGAGGAAACAGTCTGAGAAAGGGAAGCAATCTGTCAGGGGCCATAAAGCTAAAGCTGAGTTAGTGCTTGCCAGAAATAACCACAGCAACTGTTATTAAATATTCACTATGTTCCAAGTACTGTACTGAGCATATTACATGCAATATCTCATCCAAGTGCTTTATCCTGAGATCCATACTCTACAGAAGAAAATAGTGAGATGCAGAGAGGATAAGGGACTTTTCCTAGGTCCTGCAAGCAGCACATGGCAGGACTGGATTCAAATAGGGGTCTGCATGCCTTCAATCCCATGCCCTCAGCTACTCTGCTGTAACTGTGCTATCTAGACCAGTGAGGTGTATGGACTTGGCATGAAACCCTGAGAGGCTGAGACTGACCTTTTCAGATTTTCTAAGGCATCCAGCATAGAAACCACTACTGATCACAAGGTTCTCCAGGTGACTCAAGCGGGTCAGGCACTAGCTGGATAGCCTGGTGATGATGCCAACAATGGCTCCCCTGAAACACTGGTGATGGTTGCTTTGCCAGCCCTGACACTTACCCAATGGTGCAGCCAGCCTCTGCTTCGATGGTCCAGATGCAGTTGAGATTGTGTTCATAGGGAGCTGGATACCCGGGAGACAGCACCTGTCCCGACACCTCTCCTTTCACTGTCCCTCCACACTCGGCTGAAAGAAATCCCAAAAGAATGAGCTTCATGGGGTGGCCTGAGCTGCCTGCAGTCACTCAGCAGCTCCTTTTGCCTGTGTGCTCCTGAATCCCTCTCACTCATTCCAGGTGATTGAGCACAGCATATTAAAAGGTTCCTGGATGAGACTTATATCCAGAACCTATAAAGAATCCCTACAAATCAACAATAAAAAGACAAATAACCCAATTTTAAAAAGGCAAAAGATTTGAATAAACATTTCTCCAAAGAAGATATATAAATAGCTAATACACACATGAAAAGATGTTTAACATTGTTAGTCATTAGGGAAGTACAAATCAAACCCACAATGAGATAACATTTCACACCCACTAGGATGTCTGCAGTCAAAAAGACCATACTAGCATAGGTGGGGATGTGGAGAAACTAGAACTCTCATCATTACTGATGGAAATGTAAAATGGTGCAGCTGCTTTCAAAAACAATTTGGTGGTCCCTCAAAATGTTAAACATAGTTACCATATGACCTAGCAATTCTGCTCCTAGGCATATACCCAAGATAAACGAAAACATGTCTGCATAAAAACTTGAACAAGAATGTTTATAGCAACATTATTCATGGTTATCAAAAAGTGGAAACAACCCAAATGTCTATCAGCCAATGAAGTGAACGAACAACATGTGGCATAACTATACAATGGAATAGTATTCAACCATAAAAAGTAATCAAGGCTTGCTATATGCTAAAATATAGCTGAACTCTGAAAACATTAGTTAAGTGAAAGAAGCCAGACACATTATGTTATTCCACTTATACGAGATACCTAGAATAGGCCAATCTTGGAGACAGAAGGTACATTAGTGGTTGCCAGGGCCTGGGAGAGTGGACAATGGGGAGTGGCTGTTAATGGGCATGAGTTTTCTTTTGTGGGGACAAAATGTTAAAAAATTAGATTGTGGTGATGGCTGTAAAACCCTGTGAGTATACTACTCACGTGGTTAGGCTTTGTGTCCCCACCCAAATCTCATCTTGAATTGTAATCCCCAGGTGTTGATGGAGGAACCTGGTGGGAGGTGACTGGATCATGGGGGCACTTTCCCCCATGCTGTTCTCACAATAGTGAGTGAGCTCTCCTGAGATCAGATGATATTATAAGTGTTTGGCAAGTTCCTCCTCCCCTCACTCTTCTCTCTCCTGCTGCCTTGTAAAGAAGGTGCCTGCTTCCCCTTCTACCATGATTGTATGTTTCCTGAGGCCTCCCCAGCCATGTGGAACTGTGAGTCAATTAAACCTCTTTACAAATTACCTAGTCTCAGATAGTGTGTTTATAGCAGTTTCAGAACAGACTAATACAACTACAAACAACTGTATTGTATGCTGGTAAACAAAAGCGGTCCCTGGGTGTAGGGCTGATTGCATATTCTGTGACCAATCTCCTCAAAGGCTCCTAGGGAGGAACATGCAAGTGCTTGAACCTGCTTCTTGATAGCAACAGGACCTCTGCTAGCTGCCAGGGGAACTGAGATCAACAAGAGACTGCCTTTTTCTGGAAGAGTTTATTGTCTAGTAGAGAAGACAGTCACAGTGTGTGCTATGTGTCCTAACAGCAAGTAGCAGCAGAAGGAGAAGCAAAGTTGACTAGATCAGTTAGGAGGGAAGGGTGGATGGGAAGGAGGACACTGCAAAGAGAGAGAAAAGAGTAAGTGCAAAGGTCCTGGAGGTGAGGAACATTATGACAGGCTGGAGGCCAGGGCATGAGACAGGGAGATGAGGGAAATGGGACTGGAAAGGTGGGCAAGCATCTCAGGTTGAAGGACCTTGGAGACCAGGCTGTCATATATTTACTGTACCAGGAAATAACTGCAGTGTTTATACATGTGAGTTAATTGACTGTGTGACACATTAGTGAACTTCGAATGTTAGAAGGAGTCACTGTGCTAGCAGTAGGAGTACAACAGGGGTGCAGGGGTGAAACTGGAGGCAGGGAAGCAAGTGAAGAGGTCTACATTCCCCATCGGAGCAGTCACTGAAGTCAGAAGCTGGGGGTTCCTCCTGATCTTCTCCTCCTTCCTCCCCGATATCTAATCTGCCTTGGAGATCCAGTTGCTAAACCTGTGTGATATTATTCATGTTTGACTCTACTCCGCATTGTTAGAGTCTTGGCTCAGGCCCTCACCATCTCTAGGCTGGCACAGTTGTCCACCCTCTAGGCAGTGCCATCAATAGATCTTTATTCGTTGATGCAAACAAGTCACTGTTTGCATTCATTCCTGGAACGAAGTCTAAACTTTTCAGTAGAGTCCACTGAGCCCACCAGAGTGGCTCCCTTTGGCCTCCCTGAGTCCCTTGGTCCAGCCTAATGAAGTCCACACGTTCTTGGACAACCCGAATAAACATCCTCCTTATGACACCTTTTGTGACACACCCTCCCTCCTCAGGTAGACCTGACATTTTCCTCCTTCATGTTGCCATTACAATGTGGAAAGATTTTTATCGTAGCATGTGTAACATGCTATTTAACTCATGTATATTTCCTCCACAAGACAGGCAGCAGGGACCTTGTCTTACATTTGCACATCAAGTACCTAGTATACTGTTTGGCACATTATAGATGCTTAATGTTTATTGAATTAATGGATGGCTGGACAATCAAATGAATGGAAGCAGATTATTGCTTTCCATGCAAATTACTATAAGCATCTGAATCAAGGGAGAATGACTACAAATGAAGAGGAGGATATTTAATGCAGAGTTATTTTGGAAAAGGAATAGCTGATTAGGCAAGATGCTAGAAATAGAGGAAGAAGAAACCAAGGTCACAGATGGAAGACTGACCCCTACCTGTTGCTATAAAGGACCCATCAAACATCTTGTGGACCCCTTGGTTTCACACAGGACCACTAAGGAAGGGTTGCAGGAGAGACCCTCTATTAGACTCTTTGCTGAAGCTTCATGGTAAGCCCTCTCTCCAAGGTGCTATTGGGGTTGGAGGTGCCAACCTGATTGAAAAGGTGCTAGGTTGAATGGGCCCATGGCAAGGTGTAGGGTGCTGGTGAGAGGATGAACACAATCGTGGGGAGGAGGCTTGACTGGTTCTACAAATAGAGGAAGTAGCTAGAAAAGTGGTAGGGCATTATCCATGACCTTGGTTAGAGCTTCCTTCCATATTCCAGATAGAAAAGTACCTCCTGCTTCCTAGGAAGTGAGTGTTTGGAGGCAGCAGCACTGGGATCATGTCATCATGGACAACTAGATACTTTACCTAGGGCCTGGAAGGTGGGCAGGAGGGGGCTGAGTGGGCCAGCATGCAGCAGATTCAACAGCATTGAGAACATACAACTCTACTTTTTCTGGTCTTCTTCCTTCTTCCCACCCTAGAGCCTTGGCTGCTTTATTTGGGCTGCAGAGTCCACTCACCAATGAACAAAACATTTGGATGTTTTAAGCTATGGCAGTCACTTGTGGTAGACCGTGATGAAGTCAACCACAACATGACATATACAAAAATGTGCACACACAATCTCAAATACACAGCCTCACTCCCCTAGCAGGCCAGAGGCAGTCAGTGGGGAAGGCCTCCAGGGTTCTAGTATAATTCTAAGTTTAAATGCTCTTACATTGCTTAAGTGAATCCAATAAGTCCAGTCCAACTGGCATATTTGATATTCAAAGTAATCTTACAGTGAATCCTTTCTGCAAAGAAAATAATTATCCTGTAATGCGAGTCATCATCCCTCCTTTTCATTTTGTGTGTTCTGGCTTACTGTTTACACAAGCATCACCCTTCCTGGCCTGAGATCTGCTCTTCTCTGTATTCCTAGTGCCTAGCACAGGGCCTGGCATCTGAATGAGGGGAGATATAAAAACAGTGATGGAAGATATCCCTGAAGACCAGGTCAATGACAAAGGGAGAGGAAGACGCTAGAGGCTCCATAAAGGCTACTGCTTTGGTCTGTTCATTTGCAGAGGGTCCACTTAGACACTCTGCTGTATAACAGTGTTAAAGATCCTGTGAAAATGCAGTCACCTGGGGGGAAGGAAGCAACTGTGGCCATTAACACTTCCTATCATGCCGGCTCACACTTTCACCCTTAGACGTGCTCAGTCTAGAATGTCCACCTCCCCTCCTCTCCCTCCCGTTGGTGAATTCTAGCCCATTCTACCAAGTCTCAATTGAAATATTACTTCCCATGCAAAACATTCTCATATCCTCCCAACATTTAGCACTTAATTCTTTCCATAGTGCTTCTCTCATATTATACTTACCTGTTTATGCATCTATTCTTCATGCTAGAGTATGGGCCCCCACAAGGGCAGTGAACAGGTTTTATTCTTATTTCTCTGCCTCCACAAATACCCAGACATACATGTACACCAATTCTGGCATGTGGGGCTTAGTAGGCATGTATGTGTTTTTCCAGTGGATGTTTTATTCTTACAAGATTAGCCAGGGCTGGCACAGACACATTGAGGTTGTGGGACACGGGGAAGGGGGTGGAGAGAGAGAAAGGTCTGGTTTTGGCAAGGCAGGAGGCGGGACGAAGTAGTATGGGGAAATTCACATTAGCAGAGAGATGGGTGGTGAGAGATGAAAAGGCCAGACAAACAGAATGACCAGCTTTGCCTATTTTGCACTTCTGCCTCAGACCACTGTTTCTTGTTCTGTGATGCACATGTAAAGATTCCAGAGAATCTCTGATGATATTCTGGAAGAACCACAGATTTAAGCAGATGCAAGTTCATTATTGCACTCTTTATCAGTGAGAGCAGTGCTGGTTATTTATCGTACTCTTTCTTTTGACATCCCCCCAGAAAAGGGAGCATGGGCCCCATTTTACCTACAGAGAAACTGAAACCCAGAGTGGGTGGGAGACTCATTTGAGTCTTGGTGTTACAATAATAGCTGGAACTCAGGCAAAAGCCCCATCTCTCCCTTTCTAATGGACTCTGCTGGACTCTCCCACCTTGTCGCTATCACCTGCTTTACAATTTTGAGGACATGACTTGGCTGTGGTCCCACTTGCTAAAGGTGCAACAACGGCAAGCCACCCGCCTGACCGCGCTGCTGCATGGGTGTAATGAGGTGTGAAAGTGAGGAAGTGGAGAAGGGGTGCAGGCGAGCCAGGATGCCTGTTAACAAGAGGATTCAGTCCAAGGAGATGGCCCCCAGCCCTGGAGCATGGCATCTAACTGGAATGAGCCCAGGGCTAGAGCTTGGTATTATGGGAGACCCAAGGGTTCCCTGCAGAGGAAGAGGCCTCCTACCGACACAGGTGGGCAGAGGCCGGTCCCAGGTCCTGCGTTCTCCACTTAGACACAGCAGCTCCTCACTACCCCGCAGGCTGTATCCAGGGTCACAGCTGAAGGACACGGAGCTTCCTGCAAAATGACCTTCATCATGAACCTTGTAGCCAAACTTGGGGGTTCCTGGGTCCTCACATTTGATTAGTTCAAAACCTGGTGAGGAGAGAAGAGGCAGAGTAAGACCTATCGCGGCAGAAACCACGTTTCCTCCCTTCCCTTGAAGTCCATGTCCTCAAGGAAGCTGTCTTAGCCACGGCCCCTGGGTTCTGATGGATTCACCAGTTAGGATTTCCTCAATTCTATGCTCAGTTGAGGGGATATTAAGTGGCATTCATTTCTCTGTTGCTACATGTAAATGATTTCAGCTTTTAATAGTTTTCAGGCCTAAGGTCTGCATTTTCTATTTCTTTTGTTTGACCCCATAGCATTTTTGCTAGCAGGAGTGTTCTTTTCATTTTGCTCACTGAGACATTCTGATAAGATGGGGTAATATGGAGAAGTTACCTCAAATGTATGTTTGAAAGCTTAGTTATGACCTACTTAAACATACGCTGTTGAAACAGGCTGGAAAAGGAAACAGACTTATGCAGAGCTCCCACTCTGTAGTGCTATACATGTGTTCTCTCGCATTTGTTAGTCACAGGAGTCTTACAGGTGGGTATAATTATCTGCATTTTACAACTGAGAGCATTGATTTGGTAAGGTTAAATAAACTGTTCCAAACTTACACAATTTTCACTTGATAGAAATAGAATTCAAGGTGTCTCTAATCCTCTTCCACTGAACCTCCTGCTGTAACAGGCAAGGATCCTCTGCCAGGCAGCATCGAGCCCAGGCAAGGGGAAGCTTGAGTATATTCTGTGAATTATTTTCCCCAATAGCTATCTTTATTGAGATATAGTTCACATACCATACATTCTCCCATCTAACATGTGCAATCCAATGTCTTTTAGTAGATTCACAGAGTTGTGCAGCTATTGCCATAATCAGCTGTAGAACATTTTTATCACCTCAAAAAGAAATTCCATACACATTTTCTCCCAACTCCCTCAGCCCTAGGCAACTGCCATTTACTTTCTGGATTTATGGATTTGCCTGTTCTGGACAGCTCATAGGAAGGGACTCAAAAAAACATGTGGCCTTTGCAACTGGATTCTTTCACTTAGTGCAATCTTTTCAAGGGTCATTCACATTGAAACATGTATCAGCACTTCACTCTTTTTTTCTTGAGATGGAGTCTTGCTCTGTTGCCCAGGCTAGAGTACAGTTGCATGATCTCAGCTCACTGCAACCTCCACCTCCCAGGTTCAAGTAAGTCTCCTGCCTCAGCCTCCTGAGTAGCTGGGATTACAGGCACCTGTCATTGTGCCTGGCCAATTTTTATATTTTTAGTAGAGATGGGGTTTCACCATCTTGGCCAGGCTGGTCTCGAACTCCTGACCTCATGATCCATGTGCCTCAGCCTCCCAAAGTGCTGGGATTACAGGTGTGAGTCACTACGCCTGGCCACTTCACTCCTTTTTATGGCCAAATGCTATTCCATTATATGAACATATCACATTTTGTTTACTCATGAATCTACTAATGGATACACATTGGATTTTAAAACAATCTTAAGAGCACATTCTTTGTATCTCGTGATTAAGCAGAAGCTCAAATAAATGAATAAAATGGGAAAGCCTGATTCCATTGTCCACACAGATGCAAGAAAGACTTACTGGAAAACTGCAGTTCAAAGCCCTTGCTGGTGTTTTCAGCATCAGTGATGAAATCAAGCCACAGACTGCTGGATGTGCTGTTCAAAGTCACCCCCATCATCTCAGAATGGCTGAATACTCCCAGCAAACGGGCAGAGTTGTTGTTGCCATCATAAACCTGGATGCGGGAGAGACCCCAACCCAATGTTGTCAGCATGGCCTTATGTTGAACACCTTATTCCACAACCCACACTCCTGGAGTTTAGCACTGGTAACAACTATTAGAGGCACAGTGGTAACAACTATTAGAGGTACAACTATCAGAGGCAAGGAAGATGGCAGAGGGAAGCTACCAACTGAGAAAGTTATCTTGTTTTCCCTTCATGTCAGTTCTATGCTCAGTCCACCTTTAGTGTGAATCTAGTCCTTAGGAACTGGTTGCTATTCTAACCTTTCCTGTGGAGATCTGCTCTTGTTCCCTCAACCCCCATATAGCACCAGCTTACTCTTTAGCAGCCTGGGGAGGCCAGGTTTGGGTTGCCTGCTTCTCAAACCATCTGTTTCTTCGGAGAGACAGGCTGACAGCATTCATCTCTACATTGCTAAACCTTCAAATACAGCCATCCTCTCACCTGATCCCACCCCCCATGGCAGCAGACTGTCTTGACCACTCTGCTGGAGGTCATCCCTGGGATCCAGAGGGGATATAGTTAAAATGATCATGGTGATTTTTCCTTCCCCAAGTTCAGCCTCTGCCCCTTTCCTCCTAAAATGAGGGCTCCAGTTAGGACCTGCTGGGCTTGCCAAGGGTGGAATCGTACAGGCATCTGGCTTCCCTTGCTCCCATCTGTCCCCTGAACTTCTGAGCACCAGTAAAGACAACAATCATTAGAATAATGAACTGGCTCCCTAGGTTTTGAGGTTGCTGTTCCTTTCCAGATAATTGTACAAATAACAACAGAAGTTGTGATTGAGTGAAAGACCCCCTGGTGCTTTCGTAAATATCAAAGATGGGATCTATGAGTAGGTGATGAATATTTGTGCATGGCACACAATGTGGTGCCAGCTGCCAGCAAATTGAAACAATATTTCCATTGTACTATTTATGAAGCAAAGCTTTCTAAAAGAAGCCATCCTTCAAGCTAACAGTGTTGTATATTACAGAGATGTGTTTAGGCTCCTGGGAGCCTGAAGTCTGTTTCCAGATCCTTGTGTAATTGCTGTATATCACTGATTGAGTGAATTCCAGGGTTCCAACAGAACTTGAGATAATACAAGTTCAAAGAGTTTAGCCTAATGTGTTACAAAAATATTTTTAACCACTGAAACATATATGGAAATTAATGGATCAAGGTATTTATCATCAATAGAATAAGAGTCATCAATTGCAATAAGAAATAATAATCACCAGGTATGGTAAGAAAGACAATCAGACACCATGTGTTTCTTTAATAAAAGATATACCACCACCCACAGATTATCTTGCCAAAAATATCAGACCTGATGAGATCAAGCCACTGGATCCAATTTGCAACTTACAGGCAATAAATACCGAGGACAGAGGAACATACAAAATGATACCCTGTGAGGGCATTCAGCAAAATCCAGAGTGAAAATTCCACTGAACAAATGCTTTGATTTTCTCAACAAATAAGTTACAAAGAGGAAAAGAAAAGAGATGGAGGGAGAAACCTATAGATTAAAAAACACATGAGACAATGAATCCAATGTGTGGACCTTATTGAATCCTGATTCAAATAAACTATAAATTTAAAAAATATTATGACATCTATGAGATAATTGGAAATTTAAACATTCACTGGATATATGAGTTATTAAGAAATTATAGTTTATTAATAAAAGTATGATTGGAACAGGATACTTTCCTTAATTTCCAAGCATAATTCATCCTAAATGCATTAAGAACAAAAATGTTATCTGCATCATTACAATAAAATATTAATTGCAGAAGAACTTATAAAACAGAAATGTGCAAATAACTTTCAGGACTTACAACATGTTGGTGAGTATCTTTCTAGGCTTTGTTCTATGCCTTTATTTCCTTGTATAAATTTATTTAAAAATACTTTTTATAACAATAAGATCAAATTATAGATGCTATAGGGGCAACCTGCTCTTTCACTTAATATAATGTGTATATTTTTAAAGTCATTAAATATTTTTTCCATAATGGCATTTAAATGGCTGCAGGAATTTCTACAATAAAAGTTAACCCAACCTGCAATATAATTATTTACATATCAGTGTCCACAATATGTGCTCTGGCACATAAGGCTTACTTAGTAAATGTATGATAAATAAACCAATATTTTCCTCTAGAATTCATGTCCTTAAATCCATCTGGAATTTATTTTGGGATATGATATACAATTCTGCCTTAACTCCCTGATAGATTAGCCATCTAGCTAAACTTTGTAAATATTCCACACACTACCAATTTTAAACCCAACTTTGCCACATATATAATTAACATATAATTATATAAATTTGGTTTTGTTTGTCAACTTTCTATTCTATTGCATTTGTCTATTTATCTATTCCTATGCATGACCCACACTGTTTTAGTTACCACACCTTTACAATATATTTAGGTAATTAGTAGGAAAAGTCCTAACTTGTCTTCTTTTAACTTAAAAAAATTCTCCTAGATGTATTCTACTAAACTCAAGAAGAGTTTTCCTGAATTAAAAATAATAAAACAAAAACCCACAAAACAAAACTTGTGTAATTCTGAGCTACATTAAATGCATGGATGGATTTGAGAAAAATGCATCTGTGTGATACTGAGTCTTCCAATCCATATACATGGTGTCTGGCTCAATTTACTCAAGCTGTCTTTCATGTCTCTCACTAACATTCTGTACTTATTCCTGGGTATTTTTATATTTTTGATTGCTATTGGGAATTGGGCCTTTGTATACATTTATTTCCTAATAGGATATTGCCTGATGGTCCAGTTCATCATTATGTGCAGGTGATGGAAATGTCTCCCTAAGAAATCCAAGGGAATCTATGCACATCCATTACATCCAATAAAGCAGGTCAGCAAGATGGCTGGTTTCAAAATGAATATGCTAAGCAGAAAGCTTTCATATACACATATACACAATTACAAAGTAAACTTAATTTCTACAAATATTCCTGCATGTCTGCTTGCACACATGTGGAAGAGCTGGTTGCAGGGATAACACATCTTCAATTTGGTTAGATATTACTAGGTTGCTTTTTGAAAAGATATACCAATTTGCTCTCTCACCAGCAACATCTGACAAGCTTTCATTGCTTTATATCCTTGCTGATACTTGGTATTTTCGGGTATTATGATGTTTTCTAATTTGATGGGTGTAAAGTGGTATCTCATTTTAATATGTAAATCCATGATCGCCATTGAAGTTGAGCATCTTTTTATATGTTTATCAACAGTTCTTACTTCCTTTTCTGTGAATTGCCTGCCTGTTCATACCCTCTGTTCATCCATGAGCATGAAATCTCCCTGCATTTATTTCAGGTACATCAATATCAGAATAAAGTTTTATTATTCTCTCAGTTAAGATTATGCACATTTTGGAGGGCTTATTTCTAGGTGTCCTTTGTTTTTGTTTCTATTATAAATGAGACTTTCCCTCCTGATTACAAATTTTATTTGGTTATAGAAACACCAGAAGCTTTGCGAATTTTCTTACTGATTTTGAGTTTATTAGTTGATTGTTTAGTAGTTTTGAAACGAAGACACAGTTTTCTACATTCCTTTCTAATTTTTATAGTTCCTTTTCTTCTTTTTCTGGTTTAAATGTAATGGCTTGGCTCGTCAGTACAATGCTGAATTCTATTTGTGATAGGAGAACTATTGATCTTGTTATTGCCTTTCCTGGAAATCTAGGAAGTTTTGCCATTAACTATAATGTTTGCTGTAGGCGTTTGGTAGAAATGTTTTTATCAAGTTAAGAAAGTTCTATTTGTAGTTTTATGAGATATTTTTAAAAATCATGAGTGGGTATTGAATTTAATCACGTGATGTTTTAGGGTGTATTAGTAGGATAATGTCTTTTTATTTACTGATGTGTTTATAGGATATTAGGTTGAACCATGAAATTGCCAATATTTTAACAGTTTTGACCTACAAAAATAGTAATTTCATATGGCTTGTCTAACAAATAACATTATGAGCATCTCTAATTTTGACACATCCTCATATTCCTGGAATCAAACCTACTTGGTCATCTTTGTTTTAATACACAGTCAAATTCAATCTGATTCATACTCAGAATTTTTAGACTTATGATCATAAGTGAGACTGCCCTAATAGTTTCTGATGTCTGTTCTTTAGAAAATTTTTATTTTAGATTATAAATTGATAAATTATAGTTGCACAAATTTATGGGGTAGAAGGTAATGTTATGATTTATAAATACAATGGGGAATTAGTAAATCAAGCTAACATAATCATCACCTCAAATACTTACCCTTTTTGTGGCAAGAACATTTGAAATTTACTCTTTTAGTGATTTTGAAATGTATGATACATTATTATTTGTCGTATTCACTGTGATGTCATTATAGCGTGAAGAAAAAAAAACCCTTAATTCTTCTTTCTAATTGATGCTTTGTATACTTTGACCATTATCTGTCCATTCCCTCAATCCCCAGGTGACCATAATTTTACTCTTTGATCCCAAAGATACTACGTGCCTCATTAAAAAAAAAATGAGTTGAGAGACAAATCTTTATTTTTCTCTCTTCTGAACCACTTATTGCAAAGATTAATTGCTTCTTGAAGTTCTGGTAAAGCTTACCTGTAAAATAGTTAAGGCCTGGGGCTTTTGAGAGAGAATATGGGGGAATTACAATTTTTTAATGATTTTTTTCATATTAGTACTTTTTATTCATAAAAATTTCTGTTTCGGTATTGAAGGGGAGAAAGCAAACAAAACACACTGCCCTGTGTGTACCTATGCAACTGTATTGCATGCTCTGCACATGTACCCCAAAACCTAAAATGCAATAAAAAAAAAAAATTCTGTTTCATTTGAGCTTTCAGATTTCTTGGCTTACAGCAGTTGTTCCTGAACATTTTCCTTCTTCTTTTTTTTTTTTTTTTTTTTTTTTAAAGGGTCCACTGTTGCTCAGGCTGGAGTGCGGCACGATGCTTAAATATTTTTTTATTTCCATTATCTCTCCTATATCTTTGATTATTTATGTCCTTTTTCAATTCCTAATATTATGTACTTGTATTTGATCAGTTCTGCCAGTTTTGTCTATTTTATTAGTTATTTTTCAAAGAACCCAGTTGGTTGTGCTGACAATTGCTATTGTTTTTTAGTTCTCTTTCTCTAGTCATTTCTGCCTTTATCTTTAAAAGTATTTTTTCTACTTTCTTCTGACTTATTCTGTTACACTATTTAAGCTACCCAAATCCTTATTTATTTTTAACTTAGGTGATATGTTACAGACTTACAGAGTTATATTAAAATCTTCCATGATGACTATAACTTTATTAATTTTTTTTACATTTCCAGGAGTTTTTATTTAATTTATGCATGCTATGTTATTTGGCACATGAAGTCTTACTGTGGATTGATTATCCATTTTATTAATATAAAATAATCCTCTTTTTCATTTCCTTATGAGATGTGGGAGAAGTTCTCAAATTTATCTTTTAATAAACTGATTTCATTTTTCTGTGGTTCACCATCTTCTGTTCATTGCCTCCATTCCATTTTTAATTGGGTGATTATGTTTTTCATCTCTGTTCAATCTCTCCTTATCTAAGATTGTTCTGTTTTCATTATTGCCTATTTTTGTGTCATAAATATAATATTTTCTCAAATTCTCTTAAGAATACAAATTAGGAGCTTTTAAAGTATGTTTCTGTTCTTTGTTGCTTACAGAAGGGCAATTAGCTGTGATTCCTCAGACATGTCTCCTTCCTCTTATCTGCTGAATATTTACACATATCTGGTTAATTTTCTTGTTGGCACACCATTACAGAGGGAAAACGGAAACACTCAGCAGTCTCTAAGGGAGCAGATCAACTAAACTCAAAGAGGCCGTAGCAGGAGCATTTCCTACCCTGGTGCTGAAGAATGTGTGTGTGCATGTGCTTGTGTGTGTTTGCATGTGTGCACTAACTGGGCTCCTGCATCCTCTGTTAGTCCTCCCTGAACTCTGACCTGGGTTTTATGCCCCACATCCCTCCTCCTTTCTTACTCTGACCACCTCAGAAAGACTCTCTCTGCCTATCTACTAAGTTGCCCACCTGACCCTGAAGCCAGAACCTTGACAGTACAGTTGAGGGTGCACACCTGTAGATTATGTCTTAGGTGGTATTCCAATCTAGACCTCCTTAGAGAGGAGGCATGGTCACTGGCAATACTCCATATGACCTCCAGCAACCTAGGAGCCATTTCTGTCGGCTCTATAAGGTCACTTACATAGAACCATTACTTATATTCCCTTCAAAACCTGAAAATTATAACCTACGCCTCAAAGCTGGCTTTTTGTGCTAATGGCCTTCATCCAAGAAGGTCTCTGAATTGCCTCGCTCATATCACTCCATCTGCACCTCTACAGAGAGGAGGTCTCTCTGGCACTGCTGTACTGATTGCAGCTTCTGAGGCTCAAATGGATGGAGAGAAGTGAGAGTAAGGGTGACGCCTAAAGACATGGTTCTCCGAAGGGTATAAAACCCTTGTTTTGTGCTCTCTTGTTGGGAGACACACATTGTTTTTATGTGGGGTTGGAAAGGAGAGCTTAAGAAGCCAATGGGATTGTTCTATTCCATTTCATGCATCTCATCCAGTCATCTCATAAGTGCATCTTCTTGGGTTCAAACAGGATTAGGTAAGAGCGAGAAATGCATTTCAATTACACACACACACACACACACACACACACACACACACACACACACACACACATACCCTAGAGGACATATACCCCAGGGGGTTGGCCAAGAACATCTATCATCTCTACATAAAAAGGATAGCACATTCATTATATCTGGAGACAATCTGAAAGCACGGAAATTTAGTGGTTTCTCTTTGGATTTTCCAGAGTAGTGGGCTCTGTTTCAACTTTTTCTAATGTAAGGATTTCTCTGGCTACAAGGAATAAAACTATATTAGAAAAAGTTAAAAAAAATTCCTTGGCCTAGGATGAAAATGGACATGCTTTGTATGAGGCTTTCCTTATCATTCATTTTATTAAGGCAGCTCTTTAATAAATTCTCCAAACTCAATTCTTTGATTACACAGACACACATTATTGGAGATATTCAATCACACATTCATTGTATTTATGCAAAGAAATACAAGACATGTATGCTCAGTGTCTTAACAAATCCCTCTCTATGATCCTCTCTGTAATCCAAGTCCTGTTATTTCTTTCTCTTACATATGTCTTGAATACAGTTTTTTTTTGAGATGGAGTTTCGCTCTTGTTACCCAGGCTGGAGTGCAATGGTGCGATCTCAGCTCACTGCAACCTCCGCCTCCTGGGTTCAGGCAATTCTCCTGCCTCAGCCTCTTGAGTAGCTGGGATTACAGGCACGCGCCACCATGCCCAGCTAATTTTTTGTATTTTTAGTAGAGACGGGGTTTCACCATGTTGACCAGGTTGGTCTCGATCTCTTGACCTTGTGATCCACCCGCCTTGGTCTCCCAAAGTGCTGGGATTACAGGCGTGAGCCACAGCTCCTGGCCTGAATACACTTTCTTTAACCCCACTGCCACATCAGGCCATCATAGAGGTACACTGAAACTGCTATAATAGCCTGTTAGTCTACTAAAACACACTGAAAACATGCACAAGTGCACATACACACAATACACTGACACAAGTGTGCACAGACACAGATCCCCAAACCAAATACATGGACACCGATTCCCACATATGTGGAAACATATTTATAAAAGCATTTATATCCATAAACATATAGCTACAAAAATGAACACACACATGCATATATACACACGTTCTTTGAACTCTTCATTATCCGTGTTGATGGTCAGAGTTCAAAACGGAAAACTGGATCAATTGGCTGCTCCAACCCAATGTATTATTATTATTATTATTATTATTATTATTTCTTAAGGCAGGGTCTGACTCTGTCACCAGTCTGGAGTGCAGTGGCATGATCACGGCTCACTGTAACCTTAACCTCCCTGGCTCCTCCCATCTCAGCCTCCCCAGTAGCTGGGACTACAGGCATGAAACATCACACCCAGCTAATTTTGTATTTTTTGTAGAGAGGGGGTTTTGCCATGTTTTCCAAGTTGAATTATTATCTTTTATTATGTAGTCAACTCATACTCAATTACACATGCATTTGATAGCAGGCAGCTTCTAAACAAAATCTAAAACCATATTCTTAGATACCCACATACCACTCTCTTTTGGTCCTCGCTTTCTCCCAGATGAGTAAGGAGAGTATTTTAGGACTCAGGAAGGAAGGAGAAAGTTTGGATCATTCACACAGAGACAAAGGAGTATTGACCAGACTTTTGCACACTGTAACACACATACTCTGAAATTGATCAATTTTACCTTGAGGACATCTCCTTCAGAGAGTTCGAATGCCCTGGCTTTCAGCTGAATCCCCTTCCCTGGCTGGGTCTGGATGGAGTAGATGCATTCGTGATTGTTATTGTAGTTCACAGGAAAGTTCGGGGACAGCAAAGTACCCTGAGTGCCTGTGACTGAATTCCCACACTCAGCTGGAAAGAGAATCACAATAACCACAGATTAGCCCCCTCAGCTGCATCCAGAAAGCAACTGACAGCTCTGGAGAACCTGACAAAGATGACAAGTCGTTTGCCTGTCTACCTGCCAAGATGCCTATGTGTCTATCCAGTTGTTGGACTGTCAAACGTAAAAAGAAGTACCTTCCTACCTATGGTGCTGTCTGGTTTGTTCTGCCTCTCGTTCCGTTTATCTGTCTATAGAAACAGAAACTAACCCATCAGGCACCCTTTAAAATTTCAGTGCTATTAAGCAGCCCTTCCACATACCTGTTCATATAGTAGCATAGCAACAGAAATTACCAAGAAGGAGGTCAGGGGAAGAGGGAGGCAGTTAAGTGAGGAGAAATGAAGACTTTCAGTACCACAGAACAGAAACTAACAGGGGGCAAGATCACATCATAATCGCTAACCCTTAGGTGCAAAACAGCATGACTGACAGTTTACAAGGACCATTTCAGTCATTAGTCACAACAGCCAGCCCCATCAGGTAGGCACAATGATCATCTCTGGTTTAAAGATAAGGAACCAGGTACTCAGCAACTTAGACCAAGTCTCTCTGTCGATTCGTGAAGAGGAGGGGGCTGAGAACTCAACCTCCTGGGTCCTGGGGAAAGTTTTGAGCATAGTCCCATTGCAGCCTGTTTCATTCAACAGCTAATGAAATCACACTCTCCTCTGGAAATCCATTTCTCCTCCTCCAGAATTAGTTATTCTTTCCCCATTGTTGTCAGACCTTTATTTACAGCAGTCATCCCATTCTACTTGACTTATTTGTTAACAATTCTATGTCCTCTGCTGCACTGTGGGTCCTGTGGGGCTTGGTCGTGTTACTGTCTCCTTAACACCCGCTCAGTATGTGGGTAGGGCAGGCTCATGGCAGGGCATGCATGGAGAAATGGAATCTTTAATCATTGGGAGGCCCCTCCCTGTTTCTCCCTGTTCCTCCCTGTATCTGAGTACCTCTCATATTGCACTTTGATTCTTGCTGCCTGTCTGTGTCCCCCACCTACACTGTCAGTAACTTGAGGGCTAGGGTCATGCTGGATGAACTTATGAATTTCCTAGCCTTAGCCTGGATTGTCTGTAAAGTAAATATTTACTGAAAAGAAATGAATGAATGAATGGATAAGGAATATACTGACCTCTGAAGATGTACAGTCCTAAAAATAATAATTAGGCTCTGGAAGGATGTAAATACAAGTCCAGATGGCAGGCCCATTATCCATGCGGACATATGGGGAATTTGGAGCATGCCTTGAATCTTTCAGGCGGCTGGTAGCAAGTCTGCTTTCTCTAAACCATCCCTCAGCATCCTTTAGTCTAGGCACAGTCTGTGGCTGGAAAAGCCCTGGGGTTGACCAAGGGGCCAGGGCTTTGATCTTATAGTTAACCCCTAATTACCCTAAGCCAGAAGCGTACTAGGCTGAGGCAGCACAGATGGAGCACATGGAAACCTTCAGAGCTCAACTGCTCATGGGCTTAGTTACATGTCTATGTTTTCTCTTGTCCCCAAGGCTGCTCCTTCTTCCTTTGAAGATGGGGGCCATATGTCCCACCACTAAGTCCCTACTTTTCTCAATGGACCCTCCTCCCTGGGTCCTGCTCAATTCAGGACCAGCTTCAGTTTCCTAAGACTTTACATAAGGTCTCATTTATTTCTCTTGGAGGATAAATCTAACTTTACAATACTTTCATTTTTAGTTTATTTTTTGTGAGACAGAGTCTCGCTCTGTCACCCACACATGAGTGCAGCGGCACAATCTTGGCTCACTGAAACCTCCGCCTCCCGGGTTCAAGCGATTCTCCTGCCCCAGCCTCCTGAGTAGCTGGGACTACAGGCACATGCCACCATGCCTGACTAATTTTTTGTATATTTTACAGTACTTTTAAACCTTAGTCTGTTTGCAAAACTTCCAAGTATCATGATGAATGTGCTGAGATGGCTCATAAAACTCAAGGGACAGTGGTGGACAGGCTCCTTGGGGGCAGAGGCTGTTGGTAATTTACATAGATGTTTCCATCATGTGTACATTTCTTTGGTGACCTTGGATAAGAGTGGGGATATGTGGTGGGGGGGCAGGGTTGCTGAGGGCCATGCATATGTAAACATTTATTACTGAGTCACATTACAGGGGCAGCCTTCTGAAGCATCTCTCCGCTTTCTCTGAGATCACTATCACTCCCCTACTTGTCTAGGCAGAGGCCTGTGGTGTAATGGGATGATCATGGACTTTGGAGTTAGACACATTGTGTCAACTCTCTGAACTTCTGAACTTCAGCCTCTTCATCTGGACAATAATAGCATTCTCATAAGACTGTAGAATAAATGGGTGAGATTTTATATATAAGATAGGTAAACACAGGGGAATGGTTAGCACATAGGCTCTCCACCAATGTCCCAGGTGAACCTATGTGGCTTGCCTGCTTCCATTTGGAGCCCTAACTGCCTGCATTCTGGGACTGGCAGAAAGCCTAAGAAGCTAATGGGAAGCACGCATTAGCTGCCTGAGGCTCACAGCACCCTCAAGGTTCCTGATGCCTCTTGCCCTCTGCCTAATTCTTGACAGCTGGCTTCCCTTAAACATGGGCTTTGGTGTGTTTTGGACCTCCTTCCTGGCCCTGTTTCCTGCATAAGAGCCATATGCCCCATTTCTGCTCCAGCACGAGCCTTTCCTCTTTCCCATATGCCTGACACCTTTACAAGGAGGGCTGATAGCTTTAGATATGGCCAGTCCTTGGCCAATCACCAGGTCCTGACTCCCTGATAGGCCTTTGTCCTGAGCACCAGGAAGGGGACAGAAGGGGTAGAGGGATGGGGCGCTTGCTTCCGGGAGTTTCCAAAGTAACAGGGGAGGTGAACAGATGCACTGAGAAGCCAAACACAGGCATAAATAGAAACAAATAAATGTTCCAGAGAAACAAGCAGTCACATCCACAGCAAAGTGCTGTGGCTGATTCTGGCATCTGTGACTTCTGTCACCCCCATCAGAAGGGGTCTTGTTAAGGGCAGAAGCTGTATCTCATCCATCAGCCTGGGGCTTCCGAGGCAGAGGGTTAGGTCTTCTCCATCACACGGGGATTCCCAAGGACAGGGTCTTGTCTCCTGCTGCAGACTGGGGTCCCCTGGGGTCAGGGCTGCCTCTTCTACAACAAATTCCGGGGTCCCTGAGGTCGGGGGCTATGTCACCTCCCTCCCCACCACACCATGAATTAAAGCCCAGGGCTGTTCATCTCCTTCTCGGCTGGGAATGTTTCTGGTAGCACTATGTGGACTAAATCAACCAATCTGCATGGCGACTAGGAGCACCCCCAGTGGGTATTCCTGAGGTACCTCCAGCCTGATCCTTGGCAGCAGGGCTGGTGGTAATTAGAGGTGATTATAATTGCCGTGCGTTATTAATAACATGTGAAACAGAAGACAAATGTAATAATAATGAAAATATTGTGAGGTGTCATGAACAAACAGTAATTGGAATAATAAGTTAAAGGATGAGTTTATGTAATGAGATCAATGAGGCAAGAGCTTACGGGCTGTGTGCATCTGTGGTCCTGGTTAATCCCATTCAAGAAGAATTTCCCCCAGAACCATTTAGCTGAGGATGTTTTCTCAGAGACTAAAGGAGCTGCTAGCAGCCAGATATGAGCTGAACCTTCCTAGGGGGGTTCCATGTGTTACGGAGTATGTGTGGCCAGGTCGGGGTGGGTGGATGCCTTTGGGGATGGTTATAGGAGAACGAATACACTCCGTGGTTATTTAATTGGGCAGAAATGGAATTCTGCAGCTCTTTGTTTTAATGTTTCCTTTCTGAGATCATAAAAGGTTATTGGCAAAATAATGATAATTGGTTATTGATAAATACAGATAAAAAGGTTATTGGCAAAATGATGATAATTAGATGCCACCTCTTAGTTTATGTAAATGATGCCATCTAATGTAGAGTAAAGCCTTTAGTTGGAGGCTGTTATCCCTGTTTTATAAACGAGGAAGCTGAGGGTGAGAGAGTTTGTTGGCCTGCCTGAGATCTAAGCACTGGTAAGTGGCAAAGCAGTGACCCCACCTTGGCCTGCATGACTGCACAGCCTGGGCCTGGCCCATCTTGTCAGCCTGTCTAAGCTGTCCTTGGCACAGCCTGAGGGCTCCATGGACTTGTCTCAGGCACAGCTGACCTCACTGGCTTTAAGATGCTGGTCCCTGTTTCAGTGAGTACAGTGCTGCTTTGATCTGTTTTGTATATTTTTGTGGGGTTTTATATAATATTTCACTTTATGTGAGTTCCATGGCTAACAGTGAGCATGGAAAATACTCCATGAATGCAGCTAGTATTTTATCCAGCCCTACATGATAAGGATTGAGCAAGCAGGCACCCAGGAGCCTCATACATTAGGGAGAGACAGTAATCAATCTGCCCTCAGGGACAATACCTACATCCCCCTACTCTTTGGACACATCACTCTGAACAGACTTCTTTAAAGTTCCAACCTCCAACAGCTACACCTAACCTCCACATCTCCTGTTCTCCCTGCCGTTTGCTTCAGCCTGGCCTCTGAGCTGTTCCTCAAATGCTGAGCATCCTCATGGTTTAGGTCCAGGTCCTCTGTTGCCTCTTCTCCCAGATATCTATCTCTGTTCAAATGTCAACTCATCAGAGAGGCCTATTCTGATCGCTATAAAAGAGCAACCCTAGCTACAGCACTTTCTAAGCTGACTTAATTTTTCTCTGTATGCCTCAACACTGCCTGACACATCACACATCTATGTATTCACAGCCTGTGTCCCCCCCGCACCAGAATGTGGAACAGGAATGGAGAATTTCTCTGTTTTGTTCACTTTTGTATCTTCAAAACCTAGCAGATGCCTGACATGTAGTGGGTACACTAAAATGACCCTGTCCTTGTTCCTTCTGACCTCCCCTGCTGAATGGATGAAGTCTTCCTGAGGCTTCTCTGAGAGTTAGCACTGCCATTGGATTAGTAAAAGCACCCATCTACTCCACCAGATGGGGACTCCCCCTGGGCAAAGGTCATAAACCCCTCCTACAGGCCCATCTAGTGACCATCCAGATTCCTTGGCAAGAGGCATCCTTAAACCCTGGGTCTGTGTGCTAAGGGTGGGGAGGTGAAAGTACTAAAGTCAACTTCATGTGAGTGTCGACTATGGACCTACTTTGTAAAAGTCACTTTAGTTTATACAGAACTGCCCGATGAAGCAGGGATTGCCATCTCTGTTTTACAGATAAGGAGGCTGGAGCAGAAGGAGGTTAGGTTACATGCCCTGGGTCCTACTGCAGGTTAAGTGTGGGCTCAGTCAGCCTCTTGGCCTGTGTGTTGTCCACCACCTCACATCAATTGACTATAATCTGGCCCACCCCATTAGTGAAGCAAAATGAAAGCACGTGACCACCTACCAACACACCTTGGCAGAGGCGAGCTCCACAGGCGCCGTCTGCCCCCCAGGCACGTGATACGGGCGGTGCCCTCCAGACGGTACCCGGGGAAGCAGGAGAAGGTCAAGGTGTCACCCACACCAAACTGCAAGCCCTTCCGAATGCTGTAGGCTGGGACCTCGGGCTCCTCACAGGGCTCCAAGTCGTACCCTGGAAAGGCAGCAGGAGACATCTTGCTTAGAGACATCGCAGGGAGACACAGAGCAAGAATGTGGAAACACACAGGCAAAACGCCAGAGGGAAAGGGCAGGAACAACGAAAGACAGAGCAGAGAGCTTGAGTGCACTGGCCCACCAAAGGTGATGAGATAAGAAGTGAGAGCTGGAGGGGAGCTGAGGCAGAGAGAAACATGGGGAGGCGAGGGCAGGCAGTCCACACCCCCTCCTATGAGCAGTGGGAAAGGGCACTAAAAGAGCAACCCTAGCTACAGCACTTTCTAAGCTGACTTAGAAAGTTTCCCAGACAGGCTTCCCAGGAGGACTTCTGAGGAGCCTCAGGACTCAGCTCCTCCTTGCGCTGTCCCTTCACCTCCATTTTAACCTGTGTCTTGGGGCTCACAGGCTCTCCTGCTTCCTTCTCTCTGGGCACCGAACTACATAAATTCAACCAGCAAGTTCTAGAAGGTCAGAATACATGACCTAGCCTCAGGCAACTCTCAATGGGGAAGACATACCAACTGCCTGATTAGAAGCCATGTCTCCACTATGTTGGCACTTGAGGCGGTCGGCAAGCATGACTGCTGGCATTTATGGGCAAAGCCCTGCCTGGGGCCTCTAGTAACAGCATAGAAATGACTAGTCCCTGGTCTGCAAGGGTGTCTCCCTTTGCGATGCAGTCCTCCAGGGCTCTGTGTTAGAAGTAGGGTCTCTCTCATAAGGGTTGAGTCTCACTGGCTGGATATATCCCATTGGCCAGGCGAATCCAGGGATGTGACAGGTGGGTGACTGCTACACTGGAAGGCAGGTGGAGGACTAAGCTGGGCCATGCCCCAGTTTCTAGAAGCTGGATACCTCTTGCCCATCCCAGGAGGAATCCATCTGATATCACTGACCATGGCTGAGAAAGGTGGAGGGAGGTACTCTGGGGTGCTCTGGGACAAGAATGGTGGGAGACTTAGTATGAGAGGAGCCAAGGGTCCTCTTTCCTCCCTGAATGCCAAATAAAAGAGCTTTCTTTTCCGAAACCCTAAACACAGAGATAAATATCTATTACTACTAAATTAGCATTGATGAAAAAGATCCCAAATGAGACTAAACCACTCCAATATGTTAATTTCAAATCATTTTTTTTTTTTTCGTATTGCTGGGTTGGGATATGGAAGTGGAATCAGAAGAAAAATCTGGAATAACTAGGATAGGAAGGGACTTTTGTGAAGTCCTCTAGTTCAACCACCTAGGTGGGCCATGTTCACAGCAAATCCTAAACATCTTCATAGAAGGAGGCTCCTCAGTGATCATGCTACCTCCTTCCAAGCCCATTACAGGGAAGTTCTTACTTGGGTCTGACCCAAGCATCTTTTGCTGAAGCACTGAGGTCGTTTTCCCAGAGACTGAAAGAGTGGATTAATATCCATCTGCTGGGAAAACCAGAGACAGACAGCAGAGGGAGACAGCGAATAGCAACATGATCTCTTCCTCTAAGGGACCCTCACACTCTTTACCTGAGAAGGTGATGTTGAATCCTTCGTAGGACATGGAGAAATCGGAAATGAAGCGGACCTGGGCAGTGAAGTTGCCATAGAGCCCAGCGCTGATGGGAGCTGGCAGCTGAGAGCCAGTTAGCTGCCTCAGGGGCTGGGTAAAGCTGCCATTCTCAGTGATGAGGAGGTAGTCGTGGCCACTCTCCAGGTGGAAGGTGTGGAAAGTAAAGAACACACCTGCCAAGAGACCAGAGGGTCAGGTTGGTAATGGCGAGATGGCTGGAGCTCCTCAGCTGTAAGACAGGATCCCCACAAACATTTCCAGTTTGCAAATGTCTATCTGTGTATATGACTACAAGCATGCATTGACAAACCATACAAGTGAATCTGAATGAATGAACCTGAACACACAAGTGCCCAAAGACCCAGTCAGGGAGAAGAATGCCTTTTTACAGTTGTCAAAAGTTAAAAGAGAGATTTATGGCTAGGCATATGAGAATGCTTTACAGACAGTCATTAATTCATTCAACAAGCATTTGTGTATTTGTTGAGTCTTTACTATGGGCTAGGATCCAGGGTTAGGTGCAAGGGGATATACCAGACATTAAACAACTAGCTGCAATACAGAGTGCTGAGTGCTGGAATGAATGTGGCTCAGCATGCCAAGGGGGGCAGAACAGAAAGCAGTTGACAGCAGGAAGAGGAGGGTGCAGGATGGCTTCATCAAGGAGTAAACATTTGACACGGATCTTAAAAGGATGCACAGGAATTATCCAGGTAAGGGGAGAAAGAGTGTACCAGGAAGGAGACCCATATGTGTAAAGGGAGCGTCGATTCCAGGTTTGTTGACCAGTGGCTGTGTGTGGCTACTCCTGAAATTGATGCTGGATAGGTAGCCTGGGGCCAGACCCAATGTTTTTCTGGAGGAAATGAGAAGCCATCCTATCCAGAGTGGACCGGATCTCAGTTTAAGCAAGATGCTGGTGGCTGTAAGGAGGATGAAATAGAGGGAGAGGAGGCAGGGACATCGTTTATACTGGTGACTGCTCTGCATTGGGAGAGGATGGGGCTTGGCAGAAGGAGCAAGAGCAGGAGATGGCCATGAGCCCTTGGGGGTTGGGGTAGGGTGGCCAAGACAGCAGGCACTTAATGCAAAAGGAAAATTACAAGACATCTGGTGGCATGTCCACTTGAAGGATAGTGATGTCTTCTCTTACCCGGGGAAGGGCACAGGAGGAAGGGGTGGGTTGTAGAAGAGTAATGGACTTAGCAGCTTCTGCATGCAAGCAGTGAGAGCTAGTGGGCCACTGGAAGGACAGATTTGGAAGTTCAGAATGAAGAGGGGACTACAGAGGTAGATCTGGGAGTCACCAGCAAAGCATTCATATCTGAAGCCACAAGCACGGAGAAGACAGCTAGGAGAGAAGAGGGCAGAGTGAGAACTGGAGAAGGAGTGAATGGAAGCATGGGCAGAAGTGACAGGGAACAGGAGACAGGGCAAAGGAGAAGCAATGAGGGAGATGGTCAAAGAGCAATCAGAGAGCTGGAAAGATGAAGGAGGAAGCTCCATAAGGGGGAAGGTTAAGAGCGTAAAATAAAATCAGAGCGATGATATTCATTAGCAGTTCAAGCACTAAATATTTAGTGTCACTGTCCTAACTGCTTTTACTTGTACCTACTCCCTTGGAAGGGAGATAGGAAAACTCATTTAATCCTGCCAGGAACCCCATGGTGTGGGTACATTATTTTCATCTCCAGTTTACACCCAAGGAAACGGAGGCACAAAGAGATGAAGTCATCTGTCCAACGTCACCCAGCTAACATGTGGTAGAGCTGGGATTTGAAATGAGGCAACCTGACTGCAGAGGTCATGCTCTCAGCTACTTCAGGGTGTGGCCTCTTAGGCTACAGAAAGAGAGCAGGTAGTAAGAGTAGCCAGATGGAGTAAGGGATCAGATAGTGAGGGAAGTTATAGAGCAGCATGGTCTTAACACCCAAAGCAATTGTGGAACTTGTCCAGATGGCAGTTGTGTTTGGTGGGCATGTGTGTAAGTGCGTGGCCATGCACAAGTGAATGTCCTATGGGACTATGTGTTGTGGATGGTGCCAGGACAGGAATTAGGACCCACCTGCTACTCCAAGTGTGATCCCACTTTCTACTCAAAGCATGGTCCATGAACCAAGGAACTTACTAGAATTGCAGAATCTTTGGCTTCCACTGTAGACCTACTGAATCAGAATCTGCATGCTCTTTAGATGCCCAAATGATTTATAGGCACTTACAATTTCAGAAATACTTATCTAGATCATTACTGATACATGTTTTATAAATGATGGTTGGAGCCAAGCCCCTAATGCTAAAGCATTTTAAAAGTGTTTATATCCTTGCCTCCCTGTCGATAGGAACTAGATCCTGGAGGATTTGGGCTTCTATAATGGAGGTGGAGGAGACAAAACACCACAGAAGAGATGGGACCAGAGACGCAGCTTGTAAATACCCTGTTCCCAGGCAAGTGAGATGCATCAAGTTCTAAGCACCTATCAAGTGCTGGGCCTCGTGCTAAGCACTGAGAAAGATCTCCCAGTTTAGTGGAGAAGACAGACACATCACCACTAGTGAGAATATAGAGTGGAGCACAGAGGAAGAGTAAGAAACTGTGCCTCAGGGTTGGGAAGGCTTCATGAGGGTCCAGATCCATGATGAGAAAGGCTTGTGGGTGTATGTGCCCACTTGCATGCTATACTCCTGACACACAAACACGTCTCAAATGAGAAAACTGTTTTCGGTCTAGGCAGCCTAGGATATATATGTCCTTTCCCTACTACCTAGGAGATGGAGTTGGGTGGAGAGTGGATGAGACTCAGTCACAGGTGGAAACAAGTTGATTAAACATCACACTTTGCACTCTATCCTTCTAGCATGAAAATAGAGCCCTTCCTAAGGAGTAAACGTTTGGCTGGGATTCTAAGGATGAGCAAACATCTGACATGAAACCTCTGGGTTTCCCAGCTGTGCTGATTGCTTGGGGCTTTTTGGGCCATTGTGAGAAAGTGAAGACAATGTCACAGAAACAGAGAGGCCCCATGTTGGAGTTGGAATCCAGATTCGATGTGACAGATGCACACACAAATACTTCACTTGAGTGAACCATGCAGAAATGTACCAATGACATCAACACCACATAGGAGCAGAAAGAGCAGGGCAATGGAAAAGGCTTGGGCTTGGGAGTAAGACACACCTGGATCAAAAGCCCATTTACCTGCTCAAGGGTCTTGGCTAAGGTTGCTTAATACCCCGAGTTCCAGGTTCTTCAACTGTAATATGTAGGCGATACTATCTCTCTTACAGGTGACATTTACTCCCAAAGTGAGGCAAAACTGGGATAGCATATGCGAAGCATGCAGCACAGTGACTGGCACACAGTAGGTCTGCAGCAGGTGTTCTCTTTGCTCAACTAATATAACTCCCAGACAGCCTCATGGTTGAAAGGTGTCAGCTCTGGATCTCAGCAGGGACACGTTCTCAGGACTCCTAAATTGGCTGTTCCCTTGGACTGGGCAGGTGGCAAGTTGAACTATTCTGAATTTCACAGAGTTTGGAGTTTCCTGAGCCACACTGCTTTCTCTTAGGGAGCAATCACAGATAGCAGCTTAATAGATCTGTTAACCCGAGATACTTTTATAGGCAGAGAACAGAGAATGCCCTCTGGAGAAGGGCCTGGGCTCACTTCAATTCGATTCATATCACCAAATGCTTCTTGAGTTCTGGCCAGGCAGAGAGCCAGAAGCCAGGGAAACTGCAGGAAACAAGACAGACCCATCTCTCACAGAGCTCCTAGTCTGTCAGGGAGACTGATGATGAAAATGCACATTCTCGACAGTGGAGTCAAGTCTGAAATCAGGGAGGTACAGAATGCATGCTATGGGAGCCCAGGGGAGAAGAGCCCAACCTAGATGCAGAGCTGGGGAGAAGGGGTCAGGGAAGGCTCATTAGAGGAAGGGGGGTTCAGAAGAATGAAGGGCTGGCCAGGCAAGGGTGATGGTAGAGACTCCCATTCCCCTTGCTTGAGGAGAGGAAGTATTCCAGAGAGAAGAAAATTGTACAAATGTGCAAAGCTCTAGAGGAGAAAGAAAGCCTGGCAAGTTCTAGAAATGGAAACAAGTTCTGTGTAGGTAGAACTTAGTTTCGAGGGCTGAGAATGTGGCTGAGAAAGGTAAGAAAGACTATGGGGTTATGGAGGCCGAGGCAGGCAGATCACGAGGTCAAGAGATCGAGACCATCCTGGCCAACACGGTGAAACTCCGTCTCTACTAAAAAATAAAAAAAAAAATTAGCTGGGTGTGGTGGCACGCACCTATGGTCCCAGCTACTCGGGAGGCTGAGGCGGAAGAATCACTTGAACCCAGGAGGTGGAGGTTGCAGTGAGCCGAGATTGAGCCACTGCACTCCAGCCTGGGAACAGAGCAAGGCTTTGTCTCAAAAAAGAAAAGAAAAGAAAGACTATGGGGTTATGCTAGCCATTTTATAATTTGGAGGATCGAGGCTAAGAATTAGGTGATGCCTTTAAATGGTTCTCAGGAAGAAGTGATCTGGTCATTCATCCGTGATTTCTTGTTGATTCTCTGCCGAGCACCTTTCAACCTGGCTACTTCTACTTCCTGTTCATCTTTGAAGACTAGCTGAAGTCTCAACTCCAGGACACCTTCCTAAGCCCTGGGCTGGGCTCAGGATGTTTCCACACCTCTGTCTGCTCTACCACACATTGGTCATGCTATATTGAGATCTTGGTTTAGGCTGTCTACTGTCACTAAATCATAAACTTCCTGAAGGCAGGCAATGGCAGAGGGGCTTGTTCAGCTGTTTTCCTAGCAATTTCAGTAGTGTGAGTATCAAATAAGCATTTGTTAAATAGTTGATGAGCTTGATTGACTTTCAGGCAAAGACACACATAGAAACTCATAAAAAAAGCATACATCTTTATAATCACAGATGCCCAGACATAGAGAAAACCATAATGATAGGGGTTGTTTCTCTAGGCAATGTGAGGAGCTGCCTTTCTTTCCAGTGGTCTCCTCTGACCAGGCTTGGTGGAAACAGCACTGCAGGATGAACAAGGACACTGTTCTGTCCCTCCCCTCCTTAGGAACAATATTGTGGGAATAAGGGGACAACCCCGGGCCTCATCCTGACTGCCTAGATTGTCCTGCCTTGACCCAGTAAGCTCCAGGCCATACCATCCTAGCTCTGGCTAGGGCAGGCCTAGTGAAGGCCAAGTGACACATTTAAGTACATGTGGTGGGACTATAAATGACTTCTCTTTCAAATTTTCTTTTCTATACAAATAGTATATTTGAGATGTAATGTGTTTATTCCTCAAAATTAGAAAAAAGCCAAAAGATGAAAATAAGAGACAACATCTTGGGATATATTTTTTCAGGCTGTTTTTTATGCAAACAAGGATGTCTTTTAAACTAAATATATTCTTCTGGCAAACTTCTTTTTTTACTTACCAAAGTATTGCAACCACCCCTGTAGGTCTTTAAATATTCTTTCACATTATTTCTTTTAGTTGCTGCCTAGTATTTTATTCTATAGCCATACCCTATGTTTATTTAACATTTCCTTATTGATGGACATTTAAATAGTTCCTAATGTTTCATTATAATACATAATGTCTTAGGGGAAATATTTGCAGCTAAATCTTGATGCAGAGTTTTATTTATTTTCTTCAGATAAATTCTAGTAAGTGAAATTGCTGGGTGCAAAGGCAGGTACAGTTGTCCTTCTCTATCTGCAGGGGATTAGTTCCAGGACCACCCTTGTATACCAAAATCTACAGAATCATAAGTTCCTTACAATATATTTTCGAGGCTTTTGATTCACATCACCAGGTCATCCTCTGGAAAGTTTGAACCACTTTACACAATGTCAGCAGTGAATAGTATTCAAGTGTGCACATTCTTCCCAAGGCTGTTATAATTTTCTTTGATGATTAAAAAGGGAAATGTTATTTCCCTTCTAAAATTTCACTTGTTTCATTATTAATGAGGTCAATGCGTTTCCATTTCTATTTCCTTTGCTACAAAGTGTTTGTTTAGAGCTTTGCTCATTTTGCAGGCTGGTTTGGGTAGGCATATGTATACCTATGTGACAATCCTGCAAGATCTGTACATGTACCCCAGAACTTAAAGTAGTATTAAAAAATTATATATATATATAAATTTTAAGAGCTCTTTGTGTGTCTGGTTGCTAATCCTTAATCTATTATATGTTGCAAATATTTCTTTCTATTTAGTATTTGACTTTCAATTTTTACAGAGCTTTTTTTTTAAACCTAAATCCTTTCAAAGTTTTTTTTTTTTTAATTGAATCTGGCAGTCTTTGCCTTTATGGATTGTACCTTTGTTGTTACTCTTTAAAGTACGTGCCTACCTGTTGTTACTCTTTAAAGTATGTGCCCACCTGAGAGTTACATTCCCCTAGTGCTGGAATTTATGTGATTAAATGCTTGAGGTATAGATTTGTTTTTTTTTTTCCTTTTGCTCCAAATGGTTCAGCCCACTGTTTTAACACCATTTATTATATAATTCATCCTTTCTTCAATGGATCTGAAATGATACTTTACTCATATACTAAAGTCTGTCTCTTTCTCACACGTACATAGGCATGTGTGCGCATGTGCACGTGGGTGCACACACACACACACACACACACATACACATGCACACACACGGAGGGATCTATTTCTGAACAATTATTCCCCACCTCTTATTTGTATGTCCACTCTTGCACTCATACCACATTGTTAACATTAATGTTGCCCATAATGACATTTTAATATCCAGAAGGATTAATTTTTCTTTAAAATTTGTTTCTTGCCTCTTCTACATGTTAATTCTTTTGGATCAGAGGTTCTTAATTAAAAGCATGCATCAAAATTACTGGCAAAGTGTTCTGAAAACATGGATGCCTGGCTTCCACCACCAGCATAGAAAATCAAAACCTCTAGCCTTGGGCCTAAGCATTAGTGTATTTGCCAAACTGCGAGAACCATGACTCTGGATGCACTTGGAATAAGCTTCTGAGGCTAGAAGCCAAATCTGCCTGGTTACTGCCCAAGCCCAGCCCCAGTGTCAGTCACATGGGTGGTATTGAATACATATTTGTTGAGAAAAGAGTATTAATATGTTAATTAACGTTTATTTGTAACCATTATCCTTACTTTGAACTTGGATACCCAAAGGTCACTCATGTTAGGGGAGCTGAGGCAGCAGTGCAGGCTGGTGACCCATATGAAAGATGGTATCAGAGGAGGAGCTGAGTTATGTAAGAAGGGGATCGCTGTGTTCAGTATCTAAAGGGTGAATGTGAGGAAGAGGGAGCAGGTGTATCTGATGCTCCTCCAGGATGCAATACAAGGAAAACATTTTCAGAGACGCCTAATAGACTATTAGGAGAAGACAGCATCTGACCAAAAAGGATAGTAGGTACCCATTTGTTGAATGGGTTGGTGGCCTCCACACACCAGGGATGTTTAGGCAGAGGGTGAGCTGGTGTGCTACCATCTCATGGGGAATATTCAGAGAAGATTCCTGTACTGAGTGAGATTGAATAGTTGGTAACCTCTAAAATCTCTTCCAGCAGGGAGATTTTAGAATCTCAATAATACTTATTGAACAAATTCTACCATTCAAAGAGATGGGAAGACTCTGGAAGTTTTCTTGCTGGTGAGAAAAGTTCAGACTAAGCCCAGAAGTTAGTATCTAGGGAGATCCCCACTGAGGTCAACTTCACCTGAGGAACTTGGGTCCCTGAGCACGTCACATCCCAATTGGGCTGAAACACTCACCCTTGCCATGAGATGTTTCAATAATCCAGGTGCAGTTCAAGTTGTTGGGGTAGAAGTCCGGGAACCCTGGCGACAAGATGGTCCCACTGGAGCCTTGAATGAAGCCACCACAGAGAGCTACAGGAGTGAAGAGGGTGGTGAAAGACCAGGGGGCCTCAGGGAGCACCCCTGTCATCCTCCTGGGTCCCCATCCCCCATCTCTCAAAACCTCAAACCTAACTGATGGGGTAGAAGAGTCAGTGGCCTTTTGAGCGCCTGTGCTTCTGTGGCAGGAGAGGAGTCTGCTACTTTAGTGCCCCCTCATGGTGGGCCTCACCTTCACAACTGGGCAGGGCCCGGCTCCACTGGAAGTTGGGCTCACACTCCAGAGGCTCCCCATCACTTAATGTGTAGCCCGAGTCACAGCTGAAGGTCACCAGAGCACCCACGTAGAAGTCATTCCCATGACGCTGTCCATTTACAGGGATTCCTGGATCCAGACAGTGGTCTGACTGCAGTGTTATAGCTGAAATAGAGAGGCTGCAGCTGGGACAGACAGCTCACTGTCACCATAGAGGGACCCCAGTTGACTCCAAAGAGGGAGAAGAGAGCCCCAATTTATTAAAGGTGGAAGTTGCCAATTACTGAATCATGAAATGTGGCCATCAGTATTTGCTGAGAGTGGCTTACTGCTATGCTAAGGCTTCAGGATACAATAGGAGTAAGAAAATGACCCTGTCCTCTGGTGCTCACAGCCCCAGCTTTCTATGTTTGACTATGGGGAACTGAAGTGACACTGATCCTTTAAATGGAGGGGATGAATGTGGAAGGTGACAAGGAAGGGCAAGTGTGGGTGTGAGATGCCATCTCGGGTTAACTTCAAGGTCAGGCAAATGTTCTGATCCCAGAGTGCCCAGCATGGTGGCACCCAATCACCTGCAAACAGAAGAGGCCATGAGGTCTCCAGGCAAGGGCCTAGCATGAAGGTCATGAACTCTAAGCTCCCATGACCCTAAGGGATGCTGAGAGCAACAGAGTACCTTCCAAAGGGCCTTCTGAAGGGCACAATCTAGCCAAGAACACCACGGGGATGGGGCCGAGCAGGGGCTTGTGGTGGAGCACAGTCCTGAGGCTTCTGACCCACCTGGGCTGACCCTGTCATCCCTCTCCCTGTGCCCACCCACTGAGACTCACTCTCATATCGGAGCTGGAAGCCAATGTCCGAGTGACTCTTGTCAGTAGAGAAGAGGAGGTAGAGGTAGTTGCTGGTGCTGATGAGGAACTGGGGAACCTGGGTCCCGTGGTAAACCCCGATCAAGGGTGCTGAGTAAGTCCGTCCATCGCGCACTTCCAGGGTGTCATAGTTGACCTCAGTTTTGAATCTGCCAAATGACAAAAATGAAGCCTTCTTGAGAAATCCAAGCTTATTAATTTGCAGATGACAAAAGCCCTGCCTGACCCAGGGCTTCAGAATAACCAGATTTTGGCAGGCTGGGATCTTTTAATATAATTTGCACACATTCACTAGTAATGCAGAAGGACTTTTTCTACTCTATTTAACCCCTCCTCCTCCTCCTTCCACGATTGGAAGCTGCTCTCATCCCCTCTGTGGCATGGTCTGTGAGCCAGCTTAACACCTAGAGGCACAATGACTAGCCTCATGGAGGACAGAACATTCTAGGCCAGGGGTCAGCACACTAAAGCCCCAGGGCTAGATTCGGTCTATAGCCCGGAGAGCTAAGGATGGTTTTTACATTTGTAAAGAGATGTTAAAAAAAAAAACAAAAACCAAACGGCAAAGCAGAACATGCATCAGAGATCTGCAAGTAGGCAAGTGGCCCACAAAGCCTAAAATATTTACCATCTGGCTCTTCACACAAAGTTTGCAGACTGCTATTCCAGGCCAGGAACACTTTGTCCAGAAGAAGTTTGTTTTCACATTTAGGTGGCTACGTTCTCTACCCAAGGGGTAGAGCCAGGGTGAGAGCTAGAAGTAGGGCACAGGAGCGGAATTTGGGGCAGAGGTCGGGAGATGCCTTCCCATGTTGGACATTTCCAGGAGAATGCTCGTCAGATGCCAGTATCACGCTGTAACATCTGATGGTGTCTATCTGCCCACTCTCTCTCCTTGGAGGCTGGGGGGGGTCTCTAACATCCCAAATGGTCCCCAAGCCTTCTCCTGCCAGAGTCCCCTAAACAGCACAAACCAAGCCAAAGGGCAGAGCCAGTGAGGTGTGCCCCATCCAGTCTGGTCCAGTGTTCTCCAACCTTGCTGACATTTCAGCATTGGTACTAGTCTCCCCTCCACCCTGGATTCCCTCCCACATGACTCCATAAAATTTTCCCCCTTGCCCTCTCCCCCAGGGCTATGGTCACAGGCACCTGTCGAAGGTGATTTTGATGGGGTAGCCTGGCTGGGCCTCAATCACCCAGGCACAGCTCAAGGCGTCCTTGTAGAAGCCAGGCCAGCCCGGAGAGAGGATGGTACCACTGGGCGAAGTCAGGTGACCACCACAGGGAGCTGGGGGAACAGAAGGAAGAGAAGCAGCTTTCTTCAGGGACAAATGAGTAAACGAACAGAAAATCTCTCTATGAAATGTGTCAGGCAACAAGTATTGTTTTTGTTTTTATGGAAAATTACATAAACTGTAAACTGTGAGTTTTGTCTACTGGGACCTGTATGGGTAGGTCCAGTTATATCGTGTGGTGCTTTATTGAAGGCCAGAGGGGAGAAATAAAAAGAATCCTTTAAGAAAAGTCCCTTTGTCATTCTGGAAGGGCTGATGTACAGCTAATATTTGGGCCACACTGTGTTTTTCCTTTGTGCCTTACTCAACAGTCAGGCAGGGGCATAACCCAGCCCACCTCCTCCCATCTGGACTTGGAGAGGGTCAGAACCCTAGAACCCTACAACTCAGATGCTCAGATCAGGGTGCCAGTACTCCCTGCTTCACTGTAAACTCCAGGAGGGCATGGGATGTATTAGTTGTCTTACACAACTGGGTATCCCCTGCCTTTAGCATGGTGCTTGGCATGCAGTTGTTTTTCAATGATTGCTGGTTGGATGAATAAATGAGTTAATGACAGGATGAATGAATACAGTCAAGGCAGGGAATTCCACAAGACACTGGACAGTCTAGGCACAGCTGCTGGCTATCTCTGGTCTTGCAAAACCTGTTATTTACACCTCTGTCCACGTGTCCCATCCTGGGCTTCCCCATTCTCACCTGCTTCTTTCCCACCACCCCTGCCTTTTCCTGCAACCAGACCCTCAGCCCCTGAGGTAGTAATTAGAGCTGTTCCTCTTTCCAGGGCACATGACTGGGTTTCATTGCTGGTCCCTTTTTAAGTTATGCAAGGTCATGTGACCGCTGTGACCAATAAAATGAGAGCAGAAGTGATGTAAATCATGTCCATGTGGAAACTTTATGAGCCTGTGTGTGATTTGCAGTTTCCTTTTCCTGCCTCAGTAATTGTGGAAACAGGTGTCAAGAGGAAAGTCTCATCAATCTGGGCCCCTAAGTGACTCTGAGGAGCAGACATCCCTGATGACCCATGTTAAATATGTAGCATCAGTGGTCTGTGTGACATATAAACTCCTGTTTTTAAGCTGCTGGGATTTGGAGGCTGTGAGTTAACACTGTGTAGCCTAGCCCACTCAGACCAGCACAGTTCTCCAAGGCTGATGATGATAACATCCACTACTATGCTTCTGTCACTGCCATCACCACTGCCATTGACTGAGGGCTCACTCCACCTCAGGCACTGAGCTTACATACATAATCATGTTCACTCTTTGCGAAACAAAATCCCATGTGAGGTTGGTGCTATTATTATCTCCTAAGAAAACTGAGGCTTATGGAGGTTGAGTAGCCCTGGGTTAGCAAGTTGCAGAGCTTGGATTCAGACCTAGGCAAGACAGCGTAAATCCAGAGATCTTAAGCTAAGCCGCCTCCCATGTCAAAGGAACCTCTGCTCCTTTGTACTCTGTCACTATGGCGCTATCAGATGCCAAAAATTCCCTGAACAAGACTAGGGAGGAATAAAGAGCTACATAGTACTTCTCTCTCTGCAAAGTTTTATGGATTTCTTCAGGTAATCGGTTTCATAAAAGATAGTCTAATTTACCCAATCCTCTTTTTTTTTTTAATGCTATAAACCTTCAGGAATTACCTAAAATAGTTGTCAAGTATTCTTAATAAAACTTATATTAGAAGTTTAATTAACAAAGAAGATAATAATAATGGTTGTAGTAGTCACCTCTTACTGATGGCTTACTATGCTAATTGCTATTACATGTGTTATCTCATTTAAATGCATACATTTATGAAGTTATTACCCCTATTTTATAGAGAAGAAAACTAAGGCCAAGTAGGTTAAGAGACTAGATCAAGGACATGGAGCTAATGAAATTAGAGCTGAGATTGAATCTCAAGACTTCTGTTTCTAAATCCCCCTGTGACACATAATAGTGCTGCAACCACAGCCAACAGTAATAAGCTCACCGATAACTTACTATGTGTCAGGCCTTAATGTGGATTACCCTTGTGACAATGTCAACATTAAAAGGCACATACTATTATTATCCTCATCTTATAGGCAGGGATTATTATCCCATTTTCAGTAAATTGAGGCTTAGAGAAACTAAATAACTACATAGGGCTACATCAAACATTGAGAGAGTAAATTGTATATGTGTATTGTCACTTCCTAGGTAACCACAGTTTTCAAAACCCATCCATTCATCTTACTGCAACTACTAATGCTTTCCTCTATTTCTCTGGTGGACATGTGAAAACTTGGAAGTGGGGAAGGGCATGCCTGTTGCTACATCCCAGTGTTACAATGCAGGTTTGCATCTCAGCAGTGAGGAGGGACTCTCTCTTGGCTCCACCTCAGCACAGGCCTGGCCTCTTTGGTTGCTGGATTGTGATCTCCCCGTTTACTTCCTGGGGAGCCATAGATCACATAGTTGCCATTGCCTGTCTAGGCCACCCTCCACTCAGTGCATACACATCAATGAAACCTCATCTACATCTCTAGACAGGGAAATCCAATCCCTTCCTTTGATGATTATCCCTTTGTTTTCTTCCTTTGTTGCTTCATTAGTTTGGCTAGGTGATCTCTTCTGTGCACCTGTGATTGTCCAACGACCTCTCTATTCATTCTGTCCTTCATTTCCTCTGTTGTTCATCTTCCTATTACAGAATGGTAGTTGCCTGGCAGGGATTTGGAGGGGAGGATTACTAAATGCAAGTGTCTTTCACATTTGAAAAGATGTTCAACCTCACTCTTAAAAAGAAAATATATATTAAAAGCACAGGGAAATATTATTTCTCATCCATTAGACAGGCAACATCCGAAGTTTAATGACACATGAGGCTGTGAGAAATCAAGGATTCTAGTACCTTGCTGGTGAATGTGCAATATGGTACAACCGCTATGCAGAGGAATTTGGTAATATCCAGCAAAATGCATATGCATTTACTCTCTGACCCAGCAATTCTATTTCTAGAACTCTCCCAAAGATACACTGGCAAAAATATGAACTGACATCTATGTACAAGGTTATGCAAGGTAGCACTATTTGTGATAACAAAAGTATGGAAACAGCCCAAATTTTGGCCGTAGAGATCTAACTGAATAAATTAGGGTAATCAACAAAATGGACTATTTATGCAGCTATAAAACAAGAATGAGGGATATTCTATATAATGTGATGGAGTGGTTCCCAGACTACATTGTTAAGTGAATAAAAGCATGGTAGAGAATAGTAGGTATAGTATGATTCTCTTTATCTAAGAAAGGGGTAGAAGCATACCCACATTCTTACTGGTATTAACAATCAATGAAAGGGTAAACCAAAAACTAAAAAGATTATTCACAGAAAGAGAGAAGGGACAGGGTAGAGGGGATAGAGATAGAAACTAGGCTTTCTCAGAAGATATGTTTTTTTATATATTTAATTTTGGAACTATGTAAATATTTTAAATAATTAAAATATTAAGATTAGGCAAATCAATAAACTGATAAGCAATTTCTAAAAACTGAAAAGCAGAGTGAAATAAATAAACGCAATGCCATGTCAGTTGGTGGCACAATCCCACATGAAGAAACTAGTACAACAGATTTTAAAACACAGTAATTTGATAGCCTACCTTAGCAGGATACAAAAAAGAAATAAAAAACTTTGAACGATTCTTAGTCATTATATTATTGTTGGTAGTCGTTGGTATTCCTACTCTGTGACTCCTAGGCATGTCCTACATATTGGAAAATTGTATTAGTGGTGTTGAGAACTGGATTTTCAGCAAGAGTGAAAGGGGATATAGATATGATCTTAAAGAAGTAAAAAAGAAAAAGTGTTTTTACATTGGAAATGAAATAAATCCCTGTGAATTTTCTTTTGAAAAGTATTTCCTAGCTGTGTTCATTAAAAAGGCTTAGAAGCAAGAACCAAGTCCAAAAGTACCCCTAGTGCCCACATTTTAAATATCAGTTTCCACTAAAAGGAACCAGGGCTTCTTGGAGAAACAACTGATTCTAGGTCAGAGACAGAAAATGTACAAGATGATGTTGAGCCAACTTCAAAAGACTCCCACTAGCCAATGGCACAATTTGAGCATTAATTAGAACAAACAGCAGTGGATTTAAATACATAAAATATGTTTGGATTGTAATGCCATTTTAAAATGTGCAACTTTAGAAGGTGTTAGGGAATCAACTCATTAATATGAAAACTGGTAAACAGAAATAATTATTTCCTTGCTTTTCCTTTATGAACTATATTCCAAAATAACCAAACAGTTGGTGGGACAAGTTTTCTTTATGTATAGCATTTCAGCTCATGAAAAAATAAATGATAGCATGTTACCATTTTGTAATCCCTAGGCTGTGATCATTAATAGTTCCTAATGACCCCAAAAGAGAGAGACACCCAAATACTATATGATTCTGTTGGAGACACTGCCTACAAAATATTCTAGCTAAAAAATAGAAGCTCAATCTGATTAAGTTTCTAGATCTTACTGCCAATTAAAGGAAACATAAAAGAGAGACAATCACATTAAACAACCTCCCAGGGCAGCAACTGGCAAAATTCCGAATGCAGGAGACAACTCATTCTGAATAATTCCCATTTATCTCCAGATAAATGACCAACTTCTACAACAACAAAAAATTCTCAAGGGGTGGGGAGTAGACACCTATAGATTAGAAAAGACGAGTCATATCAGCCAATTGTAATGTATGAAGCTAACAAGGATACTGCCTTAAAAAATACTGTCAAAGAAAGTATTAGTCAATCATGGAAATTTGATTGTATTGAGTGTTTTTAATTTTTAAAAATAATAGTAATGTGACTTTTTTTTTTTACTTTATTTGAAAAATATTTAATAGCATAGGAAAGCTGATGATCTAAAGAGTTAGTTTTGTCTCTTGGAGACTCATTACTAAAATGTTACAGATGAAGTATGATGCCTGAAATTTGCTGCGAAATAATCCCAGAACCAGTAGGGTGGT